TTTTTTTTTTTTTATTTTTTTTTTTGGGATAGGTTCTATGTATGAAGTGAGTTAAACTTATATAAAGTTAGTGGAGATTTGAGATGTATTTTGAGTTTATATTTTTATAATATTTAAAATATATGATGTTATTTAAAGTATGAGAGATATTAATAGAAACTATAGACATCTTCATCAGCTCAAAGTTTATGAATCTTCTTTTACATATTGTTGTGTGGCTGTTCTGTTTCCATCGCTCGACTTATTGGCAGCGGAAGCTCGTCTCTTGGCTCTTCTGACCGCATGTACGCTTTCTCGGGCCCGACTGGGTGCTGCTCGTCTTACAGGGGGCTCTGGATTTGCTGTCCAAACTCCCTGCCTGGTTCAAGCACTTCTTTCAGCCAATTTTTCTTCCCCGTGCAACCTGAAATCAAAACACGAAGTAATGATTAGGCAAAGACATCAAAATAGAGGTGAATTCGATGAATAGAAGAAGCTGAAATTGGAAATAAAAGAAAGGAACGAATCCCCCTATTTCTCGTCGGAATCAATCCGAAATTAGGACACCAAGTTCGGCTCAGATTGCCCTTGAACCGACACCCTCGGTAAGTCGCGGATCGGCGGTGGTTAAAGTTGGTGACCCCAGTTCCTCAGCCCGCTCCCCGTGTTGTACCTTACACACGAGCCACGCATCCGGCCACTCCGTAGCAAAGCCTCTCCTTCACAAAGAAGCTTGCCAGAAAGCACCCTGCAAGGGCATGAACTGACGAAGGAAAGGCTAGGTGACGGCGCAGCGGCACGATGGCGGCACAACAGTGGCTCTCACGACGGCAATCGGCTCTCACACACTAAGGTCACGAAGAACGGAGCGTGATGGAATTAAGAGATCGAGAATTCAGTCTCCACAGAGAGAAAGAGAGATAGATCCGGCGCAATAGGAGAGAGATGAGAGTGTGAGAGTATAATTAAGGCAAGGTGAGGTGAGTGTAAATATATAGGGTCTAGATGGATGGATGGGATTCAATCCCTAAATCTAACGGCTCTAATTAATCTGCACTTGTGTGTGTAAGAGGGCCAGGCCCAAACGGGATTGAGCCGGGGCTTCCTTGGGCCTGAGATAGGGATTTAGTTTTGGAACAAATTTCCCAACATTTCTCCACAGATTTTTGGCCCACCACCGAATACCGGACACCTTGAGGGACCGGAGGACTTTAATCATCGCCTAACGACACCTGCACTTTTCACGAAGTTAGCACAAGTTTCAAAACTTACAGCAAACACATAGAACACTACCCAAGCACACACAGGAATACAAGCACATCAATCACATGAATCAAAGTTCAAGGTTCTCATGCATGATCTAAATTTTTCAACAGTTAAACACTTAGTTCCCATATCAGCGGGGTTAAGCTCGGATACAATTTTTTCAAGATTAACTAAGCATTTAGAAACAATATCACGAATGAAATGAAACTTAACGTCTATATGCTTAGTGCGATCATGAAAAACAAGACTTTTACACATTTGAATCCCCCGATTGGCTATCGGAAAACACAACAACATCTTCTTCAAGCAAACCAATTTCACATAATAGGCCCTTCAACCAGACAGACTCTTTCAAAGCCTCAGTCACAACCACATATTCAGATTCGGTCGTAGACAAAGCAACAATATGTTGTAGTTGTGATCCAACTTACACAGGAGCCACACAAAGTAAACATATATGGAGTTTCACACAAAGTAAACATATATGGAGTTGTTGATTTCCTATTATCTCTATCATTAGTATAATTCGAATCAACATAGCCAACAAGTTTAACACCCTCAGAACACTTAGAAAATTTCAGACCACCCATGCATAGAATCATTCAAGTAACGTAACAACCACTTAAGAGCTTCCCAAATGAGGTATCCCCAGATTAGACATGTACCTACTCAATCAACTAACAGAATATAAAATATCTGGCCTAGTACTAACCATGAAATACATCACAGAACCAATTGCATTTGAATAAGGCACATTCTTCATCAAATCATTTTCAGAATAGGTCTTAGGAGACTGATCCTTACTTAACACAAAGTGGGCAGCAAGAGGGACATTCACGGATTTTGCAGACGACATAGAAAATTTACTCAAAATCTTCTTCAAATAAGAAATTTGATTAAGAAAAATCATAGAGTTGTTCCTATCACGAATAATGTCATTCCAAGAATCCTTTTGGAAATACTGCTATCAAATTGCAGTAAGGACAAACCAACGGACGGAGGGGAAGGTAGGAAAAAAGCCAATGATGAGCGAAAAAAGGCCAAGGAATTCTGATCTCGAACCCCACGGGGAGCTAATGGAAATACAAATCGGAGAAACAAAGGAGCAGACCACTAAGGTCGGGAAAGATCTGGAAGCCGAGCTACGAAACCAGCTGATCGCACTATTAAGGGAGTTCAGGGATGTCTTTGCCTTCACCCCTGAAGAGTTGACAGGGATCGACCCCGCTGTTATGGAGCATAAACTCAATGTCGACCCCCTCAGAAAACCAGTAAAACAGCGACTTAGACGTCACGGGGAAGATATCGACAAAGCAATTGAAGTTGAGGTGGATAAGTTGTTACGGGTAGGACATGTCAAAGAAATCCAATTCCCCGAATGGATATCCAACACTGTGATGGTAAGAAAGGCATTAAACAAATGGCGCATGTGCATCAATTTCCGGGACTTGAACCTGGCTTGCCCAAAGGATCATTACCCTCTACCACGAATTGATCAGCTAGTCGACTCTACGGCTGGTTGCGAGTTATTGAGTATGATGGATGCATCTCAGGGATACCATCAGATCCCGTTATGCCCGGAGGACCAAAGTAAGGTGAGCTTCGTGACGAGTAAGGGGACGTATTGCTATGTTGTCATGCCTTTTGGGCTTAAGAATGCTGGAGCCACCTACCAGCGGCTGATGGAC